ACTGAGATATTTCTCTGGAGCTCGGCCAGCATCTCTTTTAGGTCGGATTTAGTCACCGGGGGCTCAGCTGGGTCCTGTGATCTCCATATGAGACTCTCTGGTGCCGGCGGGTATTCCATTTCATCTCCTAGTGAATCGAACTCGAAGCAACCTCCAGTGAGGGTTGCCATCTTGGGCCCAGTGGTACCATGCGCCTGCCGCCATAGGTCTCCAATTGTTAGCCCTGGACTGGGCTTGTCTGGTCTGAGCTTTTTGTTCTTGCGTCCCATCTGGGTCTTGTTGGCGAGGGTGGTCCCCTTAAACACTGTGGGTACAATTAAGTTGATTATTTCACCCGATATTGGCTGTCTTGGTGGGGAGCTCTAGAAACGTGCGACCAGTCGTTGCGGCAGTCGGCTCCGCCCCCTTATCTATTGTTTTTAGCCTTTTTGTTAATAAATAATTTTAGTATTATAAGATATCCTATCCAGCCTTAGGAATCTTCCTTTTGGGCAATAGACCCATATACCTTAGAGCCGGGACCTTTGGCTCTAGATAAGGTACACTGATCTTTTGATTTGATTGACATACTACACCATATCGGCTTTTCTTTCTTTTTATTGGAGGATATATCCACTATGAAGGAGTGGTGTGATGCTGCCCTAAGTGTAGCGTTACTCACCTTATCCAGGGGCCGGCCGCGGTCCTCTCTTCAAGCCGGCCGCGGTCCTGCTGCTGCACGAGCTGCGTGCGGCTCATCCGACAGCTCCACTAGCAAGGCGGGCAGTGACCGCGTGTCCCGCCTGAATCTAAGAGAGCGCCGCGAGTCTCGGGCGCGCTCTTAAAGAGACAGTGGGAGCCTAAATTGTCAAAAGGCTCCCATTGGCCCCTGTCATGCCACACTCCCCATACACTTACCTTTTGGGGGGGTGGATATGACAGGAGCCAATCACATTAGTTTAGAAGCTATTTAAACTTACCTCTCCCTTTACTCCCTGCCCTATCGTGGTTTCTGTATCAGTTCCCTTTAGCGCTTGTTGTGTTCAGTTTTGTTTCTCCGTTTTGACTTTGGCTTTGTTTCTGACTACGTTTTCTCTTTATCCTTATCTGTTCTGGTTGTCGGCTTGCTGTTTACTGTGTACCAGACCCCGGCTTGTCCTAGTTTACGCTGTCTCTCTGTGCCCTTGATTTCGGATCGTTCCTGACTCTGTCTCCTCTCATTTACGTCGAGTCCGGCCATTCTAAGGTCCGGTAGACGTATCTCTCCTCTGTGTTGTCTTCTGTTTAGCTGAATCCTGTGTGTTGGGGTATATTCTCGTTACATTACGATAGGGCCATGGACCCCGCAGATTTGGCTTAGCAGATGGCTTCTCCTGAGGCAAGGTTTGTAGAGCAGGATCACCGTATGGATCAGATAGCACAGGCTCTCCAGACACTCTTGTCTAGAACCATTCCTGCAACCGCACCTAACCCTCCTACACCTCATCCTCCCGAAGTATCCAATTCACCCAATACTTCGCCCCATTTAACACCTCCTCCTAGGTATGGAGGGGAAGCCAAGACATGCAGAGGTTTTATTAATCAAATAGAATTCCAACTTGAGATGTATCCTCATTCCTTTCCCACTGATAGGTCTAAAGTGGGGTTTTTGATGCATCAACTTACTGACAAAGCACTTGAGTGGGCAAATCCTATTTGGGAGGCCAATGGACCTATGGTGCATAATTTCAATAGCTTTCTTACGGCTTTTCGTAGAACTTTTGACACAACAAAAAGGTCAAAGAATGCCGCAAGAGCATTAATGAGGATTAAACAGGGGTCTAGGTCTGTGGCGGATTATGCTATTCAGTTTCGTACCCTTGCTTCACAGGTAGATTGGACCAATAATGGGTTAACTACTGCGTTCATGGAAGGTTTATCTGACACTATATTAGATGAGGTAGCGGCAAGGGAGCTTCCTATTCCATTAGAGGACCTTATTGACTACCTCATTGATATAGATAATATAATTCGTGACAGGCTCTATACCAAGAACAGGAATAGACGTCTGGTCACATCTACTAACCCCAGAGTTGATAAACCTGAGAGTGTTAAAGTATCCGAGGAGGAACCCATGCAATTAGGGGTTGCCAAACTCTCGGATACTGAAAAACTACTTAGAAGAAGGAACGGACTCTGCCTATACTGTGGTAGACGAGACCATATGGTAAAGGAATGTCCTTTGCTTCCGTAAAACTCTCGCACCTAAGACCTTATAGGGGACTGGCCTTGGGTGTGATCTCTAAGTCTCCTAAATTGCCTCCTAATCGTTTGCTTCTCCCTGTTTCCCTTCATATGGGAGTGAGTTGTATAGCTGAATGCATACTAGCCTTGGTTGATTCCGGGGCTGCTGAGAACTTCATTGACTCTGAGTTTGTTACGAAAAATAACATTCCCGTCAGAGAAAGGGAGATACCCTTGGCCATTGAGGCCATAGATGGTAGACCTTTAAATACTCCAGTCGTTACCCATGAAACTGTACCATTATTCATGTACACAGGGGTTTTACACTTTGAGACCATTCGGTTTCAGGTTATCACCTCTCCCTCTTCTCATATCGTGTTAGGGTACCCATGGTTATGTTCTCACAATCCCATTTTTGACTGGGAATTGGGACAATTAAAATCATGGGGTAAAACCTGCCACGACTCTTGTATGATTAAAGTCACCCCTTTAAATACCATTAATGTTCCTACCACTCCTCCTTTGTCTACTGTTATACCTCCTCAATACTTGTTTCTCAAGACTGTATTCGATAAAAGGGAAGCTGATAAATTACCGCCTCACAGATCCTATGTGCTATCGATTTATTGCCTGGCACTATACCTCCTAAGGGCAGGGTGTACCCTTTAACATACTCCTCCATGATACGGTTTTCTTGAATAGATAAAGAATCACTAGAAAAGGGGTTCATTAGGAGATCCTCTTCTCCGACTGGAGCAGGGTTTTTCTTCGTATCCAAGAAAGAAGGTGATTTAAGACCGTGCATCGATTATAGAGGTCTAAACAAAATCACTATCAAAAATGCATATCCTATACCTTTAATTACAGAGTTATTTGACAGGCTGAAACATGCTACTGTGTTCACCAAATTGGACCTTAGAGGTGCATACAATTTAATACGCATAAAGGAAGGTCACGAATGGAAGACTGCATTCAACACTAGATCCGGTCATTACGAGTATACTGTTATGCCATTTGGTCTTTGCAATGCCCCAGCACTATTTCAGGAATTTATTAATGACGTCCTAAGAGACTTTATTCACACATTTGTAATTGTATACTTGGACGACATATTGATATACTCTACAGATTTACACACTCACCACAGACATGTCACAACGGTATTGAAGACCCTTCTTAATAATGGTCTTTACTGTAAACTAG